TGACTTGACATTACCTTACGCTGGGACTTGAGGGAGCCAGGGAGATATGAGTTACAAAATTAGAAATTGGAGCACATCAAACTGTGGAACAAATCCCAGTTCTGCTGTTGGGGACTTTACAGGAGTCATGGTATCCATCACTCGTAGCTGTGATGCCCACGGGAGAAAATGCTCAGGTAGCTGCTGGCGGCGGCGAGGCCACTGCCGGAAACATGTGCATGTAATTAGGTCGACAGAGAAGGAAGAGGAGGCTGGGGAAGGTGGCAACACCTTACGCAGGGAGAAATTTGTGATTCGTTTTTCCTCCTGCAAGGTGACCCCAATAACTCAACCTCTCATTCTATTTCTGGTTGGCTCCCCCTTAGTCGCAGCCTGTTTCTTTGCTCTGGTTAACAGCTGATAGCTTTGCACACAGGAAAGTTTACATACCGAGTCAGTTGCTTAAGCCCTGACTCAAGTCATCGAATGTTTTGACTGAAACACTTACATAATAGCTAAATTAAATTACAAGTTAATTTTCTGACACAGTATGAAGATTCTTGTCTTTTTTTTTTAATTAAAAGTACTGTTCATTTACTCTGTCTGCATGTTTGCTTTTATATTCTGTTTAAAAAAAAAACAACAAATTTCTCTCTATACTCTACACCTTATATACTGTACTTACAATAGTTAATAATTAGCTATTTCTTGATAAGCATTAGCTGGAAGAAGGTAAGTTTTAATGTCAGAAGTTTCTTTTTTTATCAAAAGCAGGGCAATTGATTTTAGGGAAAAAAATCTGTGTTTCTCAGGTACACCTTAAAACTGCTGTGATCAAGATTTGAAAAATAAATGTACAGCAATAGAATTTTGGACAGGCTGAAATCCCTGCTTTATTAACTGGTACCTGGGACACATAGCTAGCTGCACAGTAATATAAACTAAAATAGCTCCCTCTATGTTAGACTAATAAATATTAAGTGAGACATCTCATCCTGTCCCCCAATGTTGACACGGATTATCAGTGGTAGGTCTGTCTCAGTCAGGTACATCTATATCCAGTGCGGGAGTTGCCAAATGTGCCCTCTTTGTCCTTTGTCCAGGTGGAAGTAAAGAAGGCTGAACCTCGTGACAGCAAGGCTCCTGGCCAGCTGGGCCCAGGCCACTGGGCACCCAGGGGCATCTTGAGTGCAGCTAATGGTTGGACAGCACAGCCTGCTCAGAGCTGGCAGCAGCCGTACGGGCCACAGGGTGAGTGGGAACACGTCCAAGATCAGAGCCAATGTGTTCAGAAGAGACCTTGTAGTTGTTGTGACAGTGTGTTTAATCATTTGATCTCACGTGAACCATGTGCATCTCTGGTGGCACTGCGTGTATCGTGTGCCTGTTTAAATTGTGTCATAGTATTAGTGATGCTGTAGACATTTTACGTTTAGGAAATCTATGATCCTCTGTGTAAAATTTTTTTTTTATCTTTTTGAAGGAGTGTGGGTATCGACTACAGGACAACCTATAGGTAACTGCTTCTGATCCCACACAACATCTCATGTTTACATAAGAGTTATAAAAAAAAAAAGAAATTGCCATGTTACCCTGGCCTCCTCTGGAAAGGCTTAAGTGTACAAGAAAGAGAGTGCATAGAGTCTTAGGACAGTAGGCAGTTAACAGCACATGTTATCACAGATTCATAATGGCTGAGGCTGCTGATAATTCTCTGCTCAGGACAGATGGCTGCCTTGAATGTATTGTGGCTTCCCTCTGCTATTGGTCAGGCTCAATTTCATATCACTGCCTCGGGGCGTCAACCTGCAGGACTCTCTGCTGTGTTGGCCTTGTGCTGTTTATGAAAGACTACTTCTGTGTCAGATATCATCCAGGAAAATTCTCTTAATCATCTTTTACTTCGGCAGTAGTTTATCTCTTCATTGCTACAAAACAGTTAACACAGCATGTATGGTTGTAGCAGAATACCAGCACACAATTGGATATTTATTTTCACATACCTAAGTAACCATCTTGTTCTCTGTTGGTGGAGAAGGCTATGCTCCTTCACTGTCTGCAGGAAGAGGAGCACCAACGCAACCTCCATCGCCTTTTAACGCCTTCCTGGTCACAGCCCCCGCTGGTGGCTTTGCTGCACCTCAGGGCTTCCCTCAACAGGGCTACAGCACAGCACCTCCATTTGGTCAGTAAGACTGGGTACACACACTCACTTAGAACTGCTCAATAAATATTTTATGGTCAAGATCAAATAAGAATGTTTTGTATATATAGCACTTTGAATTAATGTCAAGTTTAACAGTTTTCTCAGAATGACATTTTTCACACGTAAAATGATTCAGTAGATTCAGTGTTGGGTTTTCCTGGCTGCATCACTGTGGGCTGTAGTAAGGGAGGGACTTTTATCTTATCATACGTGGACAGATACAGTGAACCTCATGACTGGCTGCTAAAAACTCATTTTGCTTCACCCTAAGTTGTATGCTGTAACATTCTTAAAATGGTATATTTTCAAACTGATTTCTCACAGTTTATGAATGAATTGAATTTTTGTATCCTGACTTCACCTTATTATTATGATTGCTATGCTTTGATCGTATATTGGACACATTTCTTTATCTATTAATATATAAATATACCATTTTAAGAAAAGCTTATACTGGTTCAATAGTGCAATAAAGACTACATTTAAACTAGCCTATATTAAAACCTCTTATTGGTCTATGTCTATTCATATACATATTCATCCTTTCACTGTTTGTTCATCCTCTTTTTACCTACAATCATAAGGTCTATTTATTTACATCTATTTATCACATCATAATAAGACTTGTATTCTTTAGAAGAAGACCTGGGATTCATGATTGTGACCATACCAGACAAAATTATACAAAGTACGTCGGCACTCTATATTCTCGATATTCTCGATATTCTGCATGTTAGAACAAACATTCTTCTTTTTTCCTGTTGACCAAACTTACTGAATTTGAACAGTCCTGCTTTTTCCTGCTTTTTCAGACCACTTTTTTCTCTTAGTAAAAGGTGATAAAGCAGTCCTGCTTTTTCAGACCATTTTTTTCTCTTAGTAAAAGGTGATAAAGTTTCTGTTCTTATCTAACAGGTTACAGTTTTGGCACACCGCAGGCAGACCAGTTTGCTCCCCAAGTTCCTCCACCGCCAACCACTCCAGGAACTGCACCTCTGGGCTTTGCCCCTGCCACAACACCAACTCAGGACTTAAGCAAAGCTCCCACTGCACAGCCCGACTTCCCTTATAGCCAGTATGGTAAGAACAGCTTTGTGCATTGAGCTGTTTTTATTTATTATGCTATAATCTCTCTGTCTGTCCTGTCCATCTCCCTTAAAGCATTGACCATCAAAGAACATTTAGGTTCCTATCCTTAAACAAGCTGGAGCTTTTACAGCTACATATATTGTGCGTATGTAGCTTTTTTGCATACATTAACCTCCCTGGCACTACCCGGTGATGCTGCTGAAGTTTCACCATATCCAGGAGTCCTCAGCAGTCACATGTGTTGAATTCTGTCCAGCTGGACTGTGGATTGGTAAAAACATTGGTAGGTTCTGGTAGGCTTGAATTAGATCATCCTGCCTTGCAATGTTTTCTGTTTTGGTTTTGCCTTTTTAATTGCATTTTTATTTTGAAGGGAATTTAACCTTCTATGCTCTCACTGTGTAATGACATTTATCTTGATTAAATACTACTCCTCTCTGTCAGTTACGCCCTCCCACACCTCCTCTTTTCCTTTTCTTCCTGGTTATCAATTATGCTGGTTCCTTTTCCTGCACCTGGTGCAATTTCCATGGAATAGATCTAGCATGAGATTATTGTGCTTTTGAAACCTTGTTTCCTTATAGAGGCATGTCTAACCGCCAAGATACCAGATTATTTCAACATGTCCATCATTCTTTCATTTGGAGCTTTGCATGTCTGTCTGCTTTACAGAAATGTGAAAAAAGCCAAGTCTGTAAAAATGTACTAATGGTTGTTTTTGTGGTCTGGTGTGGACTTAAGTCCATTAGTCAATTATTAACACTGAAGTAGATTAGTCCTGAACTAATACTCTTCATGATGAACAATTCAGTTTATCATTTTTGTAAAATTAGACACTTTTCTATGACAATTAAACACAAGTGCAAATAATTAGTTTTATGGCCTGCAGCTTTATAATTAATATTTAGTTGCACAAGTTTGGTGAACAGCTGAGATTCTACAGTAGGCACAAATAGAGGCTGGAGGTTTTTCAGTTGTGAAACAAGAAAAAAAAAAGAAATCAGTGAAATGTAGCTTCCAGGGGCAGAAAAGAACAAGCTCACTGTCAGGAAAGAGTCAGGAATTCATTCAAAAGCTGCTCTCAGTTTTTGGCTGGCTGGTATTTTCCTCCTGACTTGACTCACAGCTGCTTCATAATGCTGGATCTACATTCATGTGATTGCTGTCAGTCATGACAGGCTCCCATTTAGATCACTGTTTCCTGCTTTTGCTCATCTTCCATTCAGCTTTCTGCATTTAGTTAGTAAAGTGTTTTGGTAATCCTATAAAATGAGCAAAGAAAATCTGAAATTCAAATGCTGGTGTGGAGATAAATTATTGCCAAAGCCTTAGGTGATGATAAAGCACTAGATGCAACGTTTTTCAACTTAGAAAAAGATTGAGGTTAGATGAGAAGATGATTATGCTTTTAGTTCCATCATGGAATTATTTTGGCAAGTAATAAATAGGAGCGTGTTAATGGTTGAATTTATCTGTTGTAGCGTTTAAGCAACAAATTATGGATGATTCTGACCTGTGGTTTTGTTTGCAACTTTACATACCCTTATACTTATATGCAGTATCTTCTCCACGAATATATGTGGGTGATTCTTGATAAACCTTAGCAGCAAGGAACATTCAAATATATGTCAAAATAGAAGTCACTGTTGAGCAGCAGTCTTTACTAATAATCCTTAGTGCCACAGGGCACTGCTATCATGCTATTCATGCAACTGTAAAACTAGTCTTTCTCGTGGCATAGTAGTTATGACTGAAAAGATAACATGGCAGAGTGCTCATGCAAATCAGCTTCAATGTAAGAACTCTCAGCTAGTCTGACTGAAATATTATTCTATGCTTCCGGAGTAAATTGTGATGTTGTACTAGATAAATTGACATTTGTCTGGAATGTCTGGAAATGTCTTGTCTTTATGCAGCTCCTGTTTTTAGTCTTATAGAATTTTTGTTGGTGTGGAACTATATTTTTTGATCCAACTGGCTCCTTAGCTTGTGCATATTTCACCAATTTCCCAAGATCAGGTTTCCATGAAAAAGTTAGATTTTTCTAGCTGAGAAATCAGTCACTCATACATCATTTTCATCGTGCCGTTCCAGATGAAGCAAGCGAAGCCTAACCCAGCGTAGTTTAGATCCAGTAACTGTAAAGCTCTGTCAGCTCCAGTAAGTGGAGACTGTATATAGTAGTCGGCCAGCAGTATCTGGGTTCAGTCAATCTGGTCTCCTCATCTCATTGATAGGCTTTGGTAACTACCCTCAGGACCCCTCTGCCTACGGACCAACGCGTCCTTCTCACAGTTATGGTCAGGATGAGCAGGGAGGATATAGTGCAGGTAGGTGCCAGCGTCAACTTCTCCACCCACAAAAGTAGCATCTGTTCAGTCCTGTAGTGTTTGTAGAGCCGCCGCCTGGCACTGCCGCTTCTGTTTGCTCTGTTTCATATTTGCATGTACATTTTGCATGTACATACAAATGATTGGCCTCACTCTTTCATTGTAAAACCCAGCTCTCTGTCTGCCCTCACTGAGTGAATATAAATGTATTCACAGAGGAACCTGGCCTGTCATCTCCTGTGGGGGCTGTGGCTTTACTGTAGCAAGAGTGACCATGTCTGTTTTGTTTTTTCTTTTCATTTATTCAGCCTGTCTGCATTGCTATGCTGATATTACAAAGGATGATCTAATAGTCAGAAGATTTTTTTTACAGCTCAGTTGTCTGTGCATCATCGATTCAATCCGTGTTTTCCCATATACTGTTTTTTAAATTGTTGCTGAAGGGCTAAGAAAGGAAATATTAAAACACATATTGTCAATACATTTTAGGTTTTTCTCAGAATCTTCCCAGGCTCCTGCTCACAGTTAACACACTTGAAGGACTCAAAAAAAAAAAGAGTTTTCTTTTCAAAGGTCTCCATTGTTCACTTCTCTCCATCTTTCTTTTGTCTCTCCACTGTAGTCTTACTAAACCTCCTGTACTTCAGTTTTTATTGGTGACATAAAATTTTAAGACCTTGTTATAAACTAGGGTAATCATGGTGGTGCTGTTTGGCTGCTGTTTGTCTTCCAGGTGTTCGTTACATTAAAAAACTGTCTTTGTGGCTGGGCCAGCACATGCTGCATAAACCTGTTTTCGGAGTTTTTTGTCTGTACTTGGAGATGGTGCCATCTAGTGTCTTTAGAGGAGAACTAAAGAAACGTTCTCTTTTCTTTTCTTTTTTTTAACTCGGATAAAAGTTTAACCTTTTCACTGTCATAATACAATGTAATTCTGTAACACTCAAATGATTTATTTGAATTGACAGCTCAATTTTACTGAGGAACCATTAAAACTACTTAAGGTGTGGCTTTTGGAAGTTTCTTGAAAAGAAGAAGACACTGGAAATACCTGATAAAGTGATGTGGTTCCTCACAGCTATAAGTTTATTTTTTTCTCTTTTTTGTGTACACAATCTGGCTGTGAATAATTACAAATGCTAAATAGATGCAGTTGGTCGCAGTACTCTGAGGGTCTGTCATTTGCTTTGCTTTTCAAAACTAGAGAAGTGTAAAGAGAACATTGGTAGAATTGGTATATTTCAGTCAAGCCTGAGGGACACAGACATCTGAATGAAGCCTTGTTTGAAATGGAACACAATACAAATGTTATTTGAGGTTATGGTGAATTACCACTGCCTCAGGCATGTCAGTAACCAGGTATTAATACTATATCAGCAGAAAATTGTGAGTCTTTAGAGCAAAATGAATCACTTGTTAAAAGTCACAGGATTGTTTTTATGTAAAATAATATTCTTGAACCTGTTCAGTCAACTCACAACACTTTCAGACTACATCAATTGCAACCCCTTCAGGCCAAGGAGTTATTTCAGTTCAATAGAACAAGACTGGGTTGACATCAGATTTGAAGACTTCTTTCTTCTCTCCTCTTTGTTTTTCTTTCTTTGTCCACCTCAGGGTACGGACAGGAGCTGACAGCCTTTGGCCATAGCTTCGCAGACCCGAGCCAGCCAACAGCTTCCTATGTGCCACCAACAGCACAACCCACCGCTGCCCCCCAAACAGCAGCCAATGCTTTTGGCCGAGGGCAGAACCACAATGTTCAGGGCTTTCATCCATATCGACGTTGACTGCTGCTGTTGTCCTTGGGTGCTGTTAAAAATGAATAACTAAAACAAAACAAAAAAAAAGAAGTCAGGGAAATTATTGTTTTCACTGATACATATTCTGGAGTTCTGGATGGATTGTGGGGATGTTGAATACAAAGTTTATGAAAGAGAAACTATTATGAAAGAAGAAACTCCAGAGAATTCAAAGGGTTGTATTAAACCCAAGGTGTTGTTTTTTGCCTAATGTAAAGGAACATTCAGCAGAAAGAAGCTTTTATTCCCCCACCTCTTACCCTATGTTTTATAGTAGAACTACTCATGCAATAATTTTGATTGTCTGGTCAAACACTAGCACAGAGACTATGTAAAGAGACTTGCATATAAATATGTATATTTATGGTTGATACAAATGAAAACAGGGTCTCAAGTTTCCTCAGCTTTAAAATTCTAGGGAAAAAGTTTTTATTTTTCATTTGGTGAATTTTTGTTTATTTTACGAGCCTTTAAACTTTGTTTAAATTTGAGATGATGAATATATATTATAAACAAACTGTGCAATTTTTTTAAAAAAAGAGAATTTTGTACTATAAATGTACACTTTGCTTGTTTTTTATTTAAAAGATGTAGACTTCCCTCAGGTGGCTGTTTTGGGCGCTTTTTTGCACTTCTGCAAAAGGAAAAAAAAGGAAATATTATTAAAAAAAATAAATGTTTTAATGAAAAAGTCTAGGTTTATGGTTTTCGATTTCATTTTGTTTTGTTAGAGTTGTTCAATATATGGTCAGTCAAAATATTTAAATTCCGTTTTAAAACATTACATTCATGGTTAGCAACTCACTAATCTTTTAAGGCTTATTATATTCAAGGTTTTTCTGTTATGTTTTACATGTGTATAGAAAAAAAATCGGCTTGATTAATATATAAAAATGTGAACTTTAACGTTTGTATGGACCATTATAAACGTCTGTTCAGCTGTTATATTAGTAATACAATGCGTTTTTTAGACATTAAAATTGTTGATTTGATTGTTATTGGTTTTATTATAAATATTTGATATAATACAACCAATGTTAACAGGATAATTATAACTTTTATTGTCGCATTTCAAAGCCACATCAGTCCTTTCCGCATTGTTAGCACATTAGCAGTTAGCTAAATATTTTCTCCGTTCGAAGCAGTTCACTGTTGAATGTCAACAGGGAACCTGACTTCAGACGTGTGGTCCACATAAACAAAAAGTCCTTAACTTTTTTTTGGCCAGAATGTTTAAAATGTAATTGGACCATCAAGATTTTCATATGTATCTCTTGTAAGTGGTTTACAGAAGTTGGTAGTTTTACAGGGAGATTAACGGCAATCATCGTCATTACAGAAACGCTGATAAAGAAGACGACAGTTTATTGATTTCTTTAAAAAAACAAAGGTAAAGTATGTAGTTTATTTTTTTCTTTTTTACAAAAATGTACAAATGTAATGTGCTGTTGTCCTCTTGTGCTCACTAGTGGTCAAGTCATTGGTTACATTTATAAGACAAACCATATAATTTTCCTTGTAGCAACGTTTGAAAAACCTGGCGTCCATTTTAAAAACCACGGTATAGACTTTCCAGTTCCAAAAGAAACTCCATACAGAACCACACCTGCAGCTGTAAAAGCAATTATAAGTGTACACATAATTAACAAGCCCACGAGAGATGACTGCAGGGGTGTGTTAACAAATTAAAACACACTATTAAGGAAAACATTACGTTACTTTAAACACATTTTCATAAATATCCCCAGAAGCGTGTTCTGTTTAAAACTTTGTTTTCCAAACCGAGCTTGAACAGCCTTTATGATTTACGACAGGTAGCTATTTAAGTACTTTCTGGGAATTCATTTTTGTAGAACTTGCGTCTCCTTTTGTTGCCCCAGGCCACGGCCTGCGTTAACATTTGGAGCACCGGTGTAACATTTGTCATAGTTATGACGCTGATGAAGTGTCATAAAAAGTCTTGCTGCTGAATCATACACAGAGAGACTTCACATCAGGAACAGGCAGCTCGAAGAGGCTCGGTGACACAGCAGCAACTCAATGAAGCAGCAAAGCCACGTCTGCCCTAAGTGGAGCCTTCCCTTCAGTAACTGCTGAACTGCCAATATTTTGTTAGCTCAGACTTAACATTGTTTTGTACTAATCCAGATATCCTTTCTTAAAATATAAAATGGTGTTATATTGAGGTATTTTTAACAAATCTTTTTTTATATATATATACAGATTGTCAGTTCTGGTGCAGGTCTTTTGAGCGGTTAATGCGCCGAGTGAAGAGGCAGAAAACCCAGGACAACACAGATGAAATCAAGAGAAGGTATGAAAAATGTATAACCTATGGTTTCTCAACAAGCGTTATCTTGTTGAAAAACAGAAAATTCACCCACAATTATTGCTTGATTTGAAAAAAAAAACATTGGCAAATGCTTATTGAGGACCAAAAATGAATAATTAGTTTAAATCTAACAAAATCTTTATTTTCTTTTCTAAAAGTCTGACGAAAGATAGATGTGTGTACAAAACAGTTTTACTTCATTAAAGCACCAAAACCATGAAAAAATGTTATTGTTAGAAATAAAGATAGAATTGTTAATGTTAAAATAATATTAATATAGTATAAAAATAAAAAACAATATTGTTAGACATGCTTTTAATAGCATTTGCAAGTTTTATGATAGAACACCAGATCAGCCACTGTTAAATAATTAAGATACAAATCTGTCCACAGCATCAGGAAAGCATTAGCAGCTATGACAGCGGTGGATGAGCTATCAGACAGTACAGAGGTAGTGGAGATGGAGGATGTGAACTCCATTAAATTCGAGGTGGACAGACAGACATGGGACAGTCTGAGGAAGATCATTCACAGCAGCAGAAACAACAGTGGTGTATTCATCAACAAGCCACCACATGGTTTTCAGTTTATCCAGGAGGATCAGGCCAGTCCAAACTCTCACCGCATCTACTGCCTGGGTGAGCTGGAAAAATTGAACACAAAACTCCACGTAAATCCACGGAATCAAATGCTTCATATCACTCACTTTGAGAAATGGCATGTTTCTGTGACTGTCATGTAATTGCAGCTGGTAGGTCATATGTGCCAGCTTGGAAGTACTTTGTTAAGCTTACATTCATTTGGATTCCAAGGAGTTGCAGGAATTCTATTTGTGCTCATATTGCTCATATTTCTTCCTCTATACGGCAGAGTTTGACATGATATTCCACTGTTTTTCCTTTCAGTTACATACACTATGGACTAGTTTAATGTTTTGTACTTTTTAATATAGTGTAATGGGTTTTATTCCTTTAAAAGCTACATAATTTATCATTGAAAAATTAGTTTAACTTGGATTCAAGCCATTTCTGTCTTTGTGTTTTTGTTCTTTACAGGGATGCCCTATAATAGCAGGGAAAGTACATTACTGTACATAGATGTTCCTAAAAGCATCCAAAAAGATGCCATGTTGGTTTTATCACCAAAACAGATGCTGGGTCAGTTCAAGGTGAGAAGAAATCCCTGTTTCAATTACTTTTTGGACATATTTTCAGGTGTTCTGATGTCATTAACCACAGATTTAATCACTGAAAACTCATCTAAATGTTTGTGTTGTCATGTGTTTGTTATGTAGCGTTTCTCCTTTCATTAGGTTTGTATGGTTTGACCGCCCTGTCTTAGGTCAGCCAGCATCATCTTGTTGTATCCCCTCTTGTTACCCCTGACCTCAGATTCGCCCACAACACAGGACTATCTCCAGGGAGGAGGAGCTGCTGCAGGAGAGAACACGTTTGGGTCTTTCTGGAATCACCTCCTATAACTACCACCAAGCCAGTGGTCTCTTCCTATTTCAGGCCAATAGCAGTCTGTACTACTGCCACGACAGTGGAATGCACACTGTGAGTTAAAGGACTGTTTAACTATTTTGTAGGCCTTGTTTTTTGTTACACCTTCTGGGGTTGGTTAAATCACTGAATCAATCAATGACAATATAGTCACAAGATTTCTGCCAAAATATTATTCAATAAAAACAGTCAAATAAATCAATAAACACCATGATAACAACAATGTTAATTTATGGTTGAACTTAAAAGCATCCTTTGTTGCTGAGGCTGTGACTTCAGTCGTCCTCTGTTTACTCTTTGTTTTGTGCAGACATCTCCAGTGAATCCCACAGAGATTAAGAGCCAGTGTACAGGCCCACGTATGAACCCCCAGATCTGCCCTGGAGACCCTGACTTTATTGGCTTCATCAATAACAATGACATTTGGGTGAGCAGCGTAAAGACAGGAGAAGAGAGGAGACTGACCTTCTGCCACAAAGGTCAGAGATGAAGCCAGTTTACAGAATCAGGTGACTCTCTGGAGAATGTTTTTTTCCACTGTGGTTAATTTTCTTCTTTCTTTTATTTTCAGGAATAAAAAATCCTGAGGAAGACCCCAAATCTGCAGGTGTTGCCACATTTGTTACACAGGAAGAGTTTGACCGATTCACTGGATACTGGTGGTCGCCATCTGCTCGAAAAGGTTACAAAAGATAAACCATGGGGAGGAAACATCATTCATTCGTGATATCAATATGAGTAATTAAACAGCCTGGTCCCATACTGTTTCTGTGTGTCTCAGAGTCAGACGGTGGTAAGACTCTACAGATTTTATATGAGGAGGTGGATGAGTCAGAGGTTGACATTGTCCATGTCTCATCTCCAGCTCTGGAGGAATGTAAGACTGATGTTTACAGATATCCACGAGCAGGTAAACCTTTGGCTTTTTTCAGGTGCACATATTTGATAATACAAGCCACAGTTATATGATCTGTTTATATGATAAAACAGAAAATTGTTTTTTTCTGTAGATAATTTGTATAAAGTTAAAAAAAAACAGCCCCCTCGTCTGACGTTAAATGTTACTAACTGCTAACTTTTACATAAAGGAGAAAATATTTATGTTTTGAGGAAACTATTTTTACCAATAACTTAAGATTTCTTATTTGTATTCTAATTTGTAACTAAATGTATATTTTTATTTTTAGGCAGCAAGAATCCAGATATTACTGTCAAATTACTAGAAATCAGGACAGATCATCTTGGCAAGGTTAGAGCTAATCTGATTACTGTAATCTGCATGTCATAAAACAATCTGAAAGTCTCTGAGCTGAGCTCTTTTTTTTAACCCACAGATTATGAGCACACAGGAGAAAGAGCTGTCTGTTCCTTTTTCCAGGCTTTTTCCTGGTGTTGAATACATCACCAGAGCTGGATGGACAAAAGATGGAAAATAGTCAGTTTTTCTTTACAGTTTTTTTATAACAGAATTTAAAATCCAAAATGCAGATTGCAGTGTATAAAACCTGTTGGAAAGACACATATTACTTCACACAAAACGTTGTCTCTTGAAAACCCAGACTTTAGTTAACTTGCTTCTCACCTGTCAGTGCGTGGGTGTCTCTGATGGACCGACGACAGCAGCGTCTCCAGTTTGTCCTTCTGCCTCCAGAGTTCTTTATTCCTGCACATCAAAATAAATACAGCAGGCGGAAAAGCCTGAAGGCCCTGGGGGTCAAAATGCAACCTTTCATCATCTACCAAGATACCAGTGACATCTGGATCAATGTGAGGCTCAACACCACCTCTGTATCTCTAGAACTGTTTTCAACGTTTCCTTGTTTTCCTGCCACGTCTGAGGAAGGCTGTTTCAGAAGTCAGAGCTGTTTAATATTTTCTGTAACTCCTTACCCCTAAAAAAAAAAAATCAAAAACCAACTTATTTCAATACTATTTCTCTATCTTTGTCTTTTAGGTGCCTGACATCTTCCACCCTTTCATCCAAATCTGTGGCGATGAGATCACCTTCATCACTGTGAATGAGTCTAGAACAGGATTCTGTCACCTGTATAGGATCACATCAGTGTTAAAGCAGGGCAACTACCACTGGAACGAAGGCTACACACATCGTGAAGGTAACTCTTTTGACAAATATTTTTTTATGCTGTGTCTCTACCTTTCACGTGAGTCATGTCAGTGTTAGCTGCAGACAAGCAAACTGGTGACATACATTTGTATGACATTGTGCTGTTCTCATTTAGGTGACTTTTTGTGTCCAGTCAAAGAGGAGGTGGCAATTACAAGTGGGGAGTGGGAGGTGCTGGCCAAACACAGAGCAAAGGTAAGTGATTCATTTCAGAAGAAAGAAAAAAGTAAACTTGTACAAACTAGCTTATATAAACTGATTCTTCAACTCTGAAGTATCAGTGATAGTCATAGATAATTTCATTTTACCATTATTTATTAGGCAAGTGGTTAATATTCAGTGTAAGAAACAAGAGCAGAGTTAGTTTTAAATCGACTTGCAGTAATGATCAGTATCAAGTCTCTGAGGACTTGACTTTGCCAAATACAAAATGTTTTTCTTGTGGTCCTTAATTTTTTTTGTCTTTTTCTCTTGCAGCACTCCTCTAGTCCTCAGATTTGGGTGGACGAGGCAGCAGAGCTGGTTTATTTCCAGGGAACCAAAGACTCTCCTCTGGAACATCATCTGTATGTCGTGAGCTACAACTCTCCAGGAGAAATCATCAGACTGACCGAACGTGGCTTCTCTCACAGCTGCTCTGTGAGCCAGGTATTTAGACAAACGTAATGAACGGAATGAGTCAATGTTAGGTCAGTTTCACACACTTTCGAACAATAAAAAAAAACAGCTATTCTCTACACATCCCCTAAAGAAATACTAAAAAAGTCAATAAGCCATTAGTCATTGCTGATTCTGACAGATTGGGTTTATGACTATTCATCCTCTCAGGCAGTTGTTTATCTTCTAAGCCATTAGTCATTGCTGATGTCATTCTGACAGATTGGGTTTATGACTCTTCATCCTCTCAGGCAGTTGTTTATCTTAATCCTTACATTTTTTAAATAGTGCCTTTTAAAATACAATGTACACAACACAACACTGTTCAATGTACATGCCTATTGTGGGGGCGCGGTGGAGGTTAGTGCTCAGCTGCAGGAGGGAGACGCAGATATAAAAAAAAATCTGTGATGTATTGAGGGAGCAAAAGGAGAACCATGATATAGAGAGGGAACACTGTAAATCATTTTTCAATTTGTCTTAAACTTAAAATTTCTCTTCTTTCTTTTTTGTACGTGTAGACGTTTGACATGTTCGTCAGTCATTACAGCAGTTTGACCTCCTCACCCCGTGTTCACGTCTTCAAGCTGATTGGCTCAGACAGTGACCCACTGCACAAACAGCCACAGCTCTGGGCGAGTCTAACGGAGTCTCCATGTATTGATCCGCTCGTTTATTACATAGAAAAACGCCTGGAAACTGAAGCTTTTCACTGAGGTCCTCCTCTTTACACCTGGTCCAGGTTTGCCTTCTGATTACACTCCTCCGGAGATGTTCAGCTTCAGAGGGAAGTCAGGGTTTCAGCTGTACGGCATGATCTACAAACCACACATCCTCGTTCCTGGCAGGAAACATCCCACTGTCCTCTTTGCCTATGGTGGGCCACAGGTTGGATCTCATGAAGAAAAAAAATTGGTGAGTTCTCAGTGAACAGCTAAAAAAATATAATTTTTTTTCAGGTGCAGTTAGTGAATAATTCTTTCAAAGGGACCAAATATCTGCACTTGAACACTCTGGCATCTCTGGGCTACGCAGTGCTGGTTATTGATGGACGAGGTTCCTCTCACCGTGGACTTAGGTTTGAAGGAGCAGTGAAGGACAAAATGGTACAGCATTCATCACATTAAGTAACTCCAGCGAAAAATCTTAAGTAGTAAAATAAAGTTTCTTCTCCCCAGGGTCTGGTGGAGCTCGAAGATCAGGTGGAAGGTTTGCGTTATGCAGCTGACAAGTATAAGTTTGTGGATCTGAGTCGAGTTGCCGTCCATGGCTGGTCATACGGAGGATTCATCTCACTCATGGGACTCATTCACAAACCTGACGTCTTTAAGGTCAGAGCTTTCTGTGTTTTTATCGTGCACATTCACTGTGACAGTGGTGATGGGTTTCTTTACTGCACAGTAATAATGATGTAAGTGTTTTAGTTTCTACATGAGAAGCCTGGACAAGAGGTTGATTGAAGTACACTGACTAGTTGCTACATTAAAAATACAGGTTTAAAAATAAAACAGAATTTAGTTTACTTACTTTTCATAGTTTTGATTGAAAATAAATTAATCTTTTGAAGGCCTGTCAAACAATAACTAATTACCTTTGTAATCGCATATATTATTGAAATATTTCATTTCTGTCTTTTTCTGAATCTGTATCTTCTGACTTCATTAAAAATATAACATTAAGTCAAAACGCTCATACTATTTTTCTGGATCTTGAGGTTCTGTGTTGATGTATTTGAAGATTTACTACAGTTAAAAAATAAACACCCATTCTGTCCTAGGTCGCCATTGCAGGAGCTCCAGTGTCTTTGTGGCAGGCCTACGATACTGCGTACACCGAGCGATATTTAGACACCCCCCAGAAAAACCATCAGGGATACAAAGCTTGTTCTGCTGCTCTACATGTGGACAAACTCCCAAATGAGTGAGACTTGCTCCTGGGCAAAGTCATTTTTATTGAAGTGATTTAGTTCCTATTTAATAATGTTCAATTTTAAAGAGAGTGTGCACCATAAAGAGTTAAAAGATAAAACAATATGTATGTATTTTTTAAACGCAACCAGTGTGTAGTATTGTTAGTGTAGTTTGTGCCTTGACCTTTGCTGTGACTAACAAAAACTATCTCTCTCTGTCTTGTTGACACAGACCCAACAGGCTGCTGATTCTTCATGGGTTTCTTGATGAAAATGTGCATTTTTCCCACACGAACTTCCTGGTTTCTCAACTCATCCGAGCAGGAAAACCATACAATCTGCAGGTGGGAAGATGAACCTAGGGGTTAGATTGACATGTGTTAATTCTAATAAACACTGTTATTTAAATGAAAGCTTTCCAATATTTAATACCTGTAATTAAATAACATGTATGCGTGTGGAATAAACGATCTTTATTAGGTGCGATTTTAGAAATGTCACTTTCTAAGCAAAATATGTCACTTAACCTTTCATCACTTGTAATGGATGTTTTTTTGTTTTTTTTGTTTTGTTTTCTAGGTTTATCCCAATGAGCGACACAGCATTCGTAATCCGGAGACTGTAGAACATTATGAGGTGACACTGCTGCATTTCCTTCAGGAAAACCTGTAATGGTTTTTTTGCTATTACTTTTTTATCTTCCATTTGTAATCCTTCTTTTTTCTTTGAAAAAAACGAAACCTATATCATTTTTATTTAGTTTTCTTCTACACCTAATGCAGCTCGTTCCACATATTTTCGACCTTTAAAACTTAAACCTTAAACTATCAGACTAAAGAAAACAACTTGTTTCGTGGCGATAAATCTTAGTTTTATGGTTTTATCCCCAGAGGGCGCTATTTACCAAGAGGAAAGAAAAACCTTCAGAGATTTCTCTGATGATAGACTCAGTGACCCGCATTCTTAAATATTTATACTCTTTGATCAGAAGTATTTTTTAAATGTTACAGATATCGAACAAAATAAAGTGTGTAGCTTTTTGCACATTCGTTTCTGTATTATTGTATATAGGTAATATATAATTAACATTTGTTATTAGGCCTCAGTTTATACATTTTGTTGCTTCTTTTTCCTCTGCACATTATCTCTTAAGTGTCAGTGTTAAACACAATAGCTGTCAGTCAGTTCTAATAACAGGGAGTCAGTCACAGATACTGACATGACTTTTTTTCTTGTGTCTTTGGCCAAAGACCCGATGACAGCTGAAAGTGTGAAACCCTGAACAAAGATAATTATTAAAAAATATCTCAGTTCTACTGCATGATTCAACATCATACATGTAGTCATATCAGCCTTCTGTTACTTCTGAAGACTAGTTCCTTAACAGAACCTGCTGTAATGCATCCCAGAAACAAAAACAGAGTGAACCAATGCTATTAATTAAAAAAATCTTTATTTTCTTTGACATCAGACCAAATAAATTATCAACAATCAAGCTACATAAATGACAGCAGTACACATGGTTATTTTTCAAGTATAAAATGTTTTAGAATTTACAGAAAACATTGTGAAATATGAGACTTTAGGCCCTTACAAAGGGAAAAATGTGCCAGTCAATGTGACTGAATATGTCTGCAGGGGACAGTAGAGACTGGAATGCGCAGGATAGAGACATCTGAGCATCAGTGTCTTGAAGACTCCGAACAGTGAACTGTCAGGTTAGCTCTTCACTGGGGCCGGGGCGATCTTCAGAACCGTGGTCTTCAGGGAGATGTCCCGACCCTTTGTGGAGGTCCAGAACATCGTCTGACCTCTGTCCAGACTGGCACTGCTGGGGTATCTGCCATTGAGATTTGTCTCCCCACAGTCGCTGAACCACCAGCCACCTAACAGAAGAACATACGGGTTAGAACCGAAGCTAATGATGTGATTTGTGTGAACTGAGGCTTTAATGAGCATCTCAAAGAGGCAGTTGTACCTGAAAGCGTCTCAGCACAGTTCACGTCTGCAGCCAGGTCGTTGTCCTGGTCAGCAGTGGAGAAGGGAAGACCGGAGGTTCCTGGTTCCTGCAGGTGGACAGAGAACTTCTTGTCTTCTCCGTCCAGTTTAAACTGATACTGTACAGTCTGCTGCTCTCCTGTCTGCTGAGAGAGCTCCACCTGCAGGACGTAGGGGCCTTGTTCAGAGAGAGAGTGGACGTTCTCCAAGCCAAGCCAGAACTCTCCTAAAGAACCAAGAATGTCACAGTATTACAGTATATCCCATGGCAGAATAGTCCATATAGATGCATTTTAATTTAAATTATTATAATTATCTGTTGAAACTATTCTCACCTGTCATGCTGCCGAATCCTTTCTTATAGCTTTCCCACAGCTGATTAAAGTTCTGGGATCCATCTTGACGTCTCTGGATGATAGTCCATCCTCCTTCTACAGGGAGAGCAGATGATGAAGATGAAGTTAGTCCTGAGAGCTCATCTAAAGGTTATTGTAACTTTTTATATATATGTCTGTATATGTATATGACGTCCTGGTGACTCACCTGCTGTCATTTCACAGAGGACGTTGAACGGCTGACTGTTCTTGGGTTTGACCGTGTAGACGCCGCTGACATGCTGTCCTTGTAGAAACAGATCATGACAGTCTGTGGGCAAACCTGAGGAAATCCGACAAAACACACACATCTGGTGAGTTGTGTAATGGCATTTACAAAAATGTGTCAACAACACTGTGGTTGATCATTTTCTACGCTGCAGTGATCTACACACCTTAGTAACATACAGTAGGTGTGTGTGTGTGTGTGTGTTTTCTCAAATTGCTGTCCTTGTTTCTCTGCTCTTTGGACTGTGAGCTGCCCTGACAGCGAGACAGGTGTAAGAAATATTCAGAGCAAAGGTGAATGTTTTTTTGGTTCATATGTCACTGGCTGTAAATGTTTTTTATTGCTGGAAGACTCCCATTATTTAATTTGACCTATGGACCCATTCTGGCTGCTGTTGTTCTGTTGAGTCTGGGTGTTACTGCGTGAACTGCCTTAAATGTTTACAACTCCTTCGTCCTCTCACCTGCTGTGTAGCTTTGCTCCACTTCTCCTCTCACCTCCTCCCTCTGTCTGTTCGATTTCACTCTCTTCTGTTTCACCTGAAAGAAACACAGAGCGGACATTGAAGTGAATTCTGTCGGATTTGAGTCTGAAGTAGGAAAAAATACACACTGTACTGGATGAAGTCTCAGTGTAGGAGCTGCCGCTCACCTTGTTCTGCAGCGCCTGCAGGTGGAGACTCTGTTTCTCCAGCTTTTCCTGCTGCTGCTTGATCTTCTCCACCAGCTGATCGATGCGTCTGTTCTGAGCTGTCAGCAGCCTCTGAAACAAAAAAACAAAAAAAACATTACATTCGTTTTCATTTAACCTGTGTTTTTTTTTTCACCCCATAAAATTTGTGAGATTAAAACCACATTCTTCACTCACCTGGATAAATGGCGCTCTAGAGTCATCGCTGTAGTTGCTGTCCAGTTGTGGCACCCTGAGCACTTCTTCTACCTTCTCCTCCAGTCTGTCCATCCTGGAGTTGACCTCCTCCACCTTCTCCCTCACCTCATCAGCCAGCTGGGCAGTCCTCTTCTCCATCTCCTCCACTGTTGTCCCTCTGCCTTTCAGAGCTTCATCCTGCTCATGCTGCTTCTTCTCCAGTTCGTCCACCCTGACGTTAAAGTCCTTGAGTTTGGTGTTGACGTCTCTCATCTGAACCTTGGTCTTGTCCACATTCTCCTTCAGAGCCTGGCCCAACTGCAGGAGGCCGTGGGCCACCACGTTCACATCGTCCCAGGAGGCGTACTTGTCCCTGCCTGGGACGGCTCTGACCTCGGTGGGGAATCCTGCAGCTTCATGGACCAGGATGGTGACAAGGAGGATGGTGAGTTGATGCATCTTCATCACTGTGTGGGTTCTTGTGGTTCTTTGGTCTGTTGTCTGCTGCTGAGTGGTATCAGAGCATTATATAGATCAGTGCTGCAGCAGAGGTCTGCTCTGATTGGCTGCTGGAGTTTGGGAGTGGCAAACATGTTGATGAGGGAGGCGTGGAAAAATCATGGTTGTCTATCTGAGGACTTCTGAGGACATGATGCAATGCTATGTCTGTGTTACTGCTGAAATGTCTTTATGGAGCCATATTTATACAAGCACCTAATGGTGTAAACAATAATCTGCACACGGTTCTAGATTTTCTTCGTCTGCATCGGGAAGTAAAATAATAACTATTGACATTTGATGATTATCATCAACAAATCCAAATTATATCTTTTGTAAATGATATAAAAGAAACTGATTACTAAGCAAATTATTATCCATTATTTTTTCCTCTTTTGGCCCAACATATTAGGTCATAGCCTGTTTGTCACCTTTGGCTATGATGAGAAATAACTACAATTAAATGATTTATTAGAAAATCAGTGATGATGCAATGATGTATGATGTAATACACAAATACAATTGAGATT